GATACGATCGCCTGGTATTCACCGAGATTTGCTACCACGTCTCTCACGCTACATTGGGCAGTAGCTGATAATGCCTGTTGATTCACGTGTGACCATACCCCAATTGGAGAACACCCCTAAATGCGACGGGCAGCTGCGGTACAAACTCGGTTGGGTCCTGCATGGGACGCTTTCCGAGAAGACCTTGGTCCTACGCAATAAGCCTGTGAGAGAATGAATGCAGAAGACAAGAGGTAAGCCGAGGAGAACGTATGTAGATGACGGGACTACGGCTAAGGGGGACCAGAACCATAATATGCGCTGGCGCATACTGGACGGTAGAGACCTAGAACAAGCGAGATTTGGGTGAGTGACCTGAAGAGAGAGAGAGAGAGGGGGAGAGGACAGAAAAAGAGAGAGAGAGATCCGATGTACTCAGCAAAGTTTGCCCGTTTCAGAGGGAGAAAGTGAAACGGAAGGAAGGGTCAGTAAGTCTGGCTTGCTGTGCATCGCGCAGTCGCTGGCCGTTGTCTTTTACTAAATGGTTAACTGCCTCTTTTCCGTTAGCGCTTTGTCCCCAGCCCCTTCTTCTTTCTCGGTTTATGAGTTGAATGCCAAGTACACAACTGCCATTTCAGGAGGACATACAGAGTCCGGCAGAAAAAGAGCTGATGGGTAGCAGCAGGGGGAGAGAATATGCTTGACGCTTTTTTTTGTTATTAAAGTAATTCTTTAATTACTTTTTTTGTATCGAGGGAGCCAACAAGGAAGCATGTCATCCATCTAGCGAAGAGTTCCTGTTCCGGTGCTGCTGCGTGGATGCTGCTGTGTGGACAGTCCTTTGTAAATTCATCCTCTCTTGTGTTGTTCCCATATGGCCGTCATCTCGGTACACAGGCCAAGCCTCTGTGTACTTGCGTGCATCACCTACTGTCAATCAATGCAGAGCAGGGCAATTCAGTGTAATTGCRCGCATCACCTGCTGCGTGGTAATTCATGCCAAGCAGGGCAATTGAACTCGYTATCTCAGCGGTTTTGTCATTAATTTGTTTTCGAAAAGGGGGAGTGCGGGGAGGCAGAGGGCATGCATCTCGACGGCTCGGTCTGCGCCACACCGCTATTACTACTATCGGCACCAGCAGCGCCACATCTGAAGAGCATTCTTGGAAATTAGACGGTCGTTCTATACACCTCCTCCGTGGGAAGGTCCGTTCGTAAGTGAGATCTGTAGATCGATGAGTACGTCGATTGGCGTTGGGAATCGAACTGTTTGCGGGAAGCTGTGATCATCCAATCAACCATCTACCAATCAATCAATCAATCAATCAACCAATCAATCAACCAATCAATCGAATTGTGCGTGCGCCAATC